CATTGCAACTGTGTTTCTTGACTTTTCTCCACTCTTGCTTTTACTTGATAGAAGTACATGTTTCTTAGTAGATATGTCATTTGTCTCACTACTAGATGATGGGGTATGTAGTAGTACAGTGGTTGAAGAATTTGAGACTGATCTGCCACCAAACATGATTCCTCGAGATGGTCCAACAAGGTTCAGTGTGTGATATTGTAGGGTAGGGGTTGCAGAAGTCTTAATAGTCTTATTAATAGAAGTATATAGGATAGATGGTACAGCTCAAGATTGTATGTGCTATACTACATCACTCCAACTATGGTCAATAGTATGGCGTATTTATGATTGGTTGTTATTCATTTACTCATGTGCTGCACAGATATGCAATACACGTGTATACTCGAAAGCTTTTTGAGGGGTTCGGAAAAGTTACCGCTATATTGGTTATCTGCAGTTGAAAGAAAATTTTCATAGCAGGCAGGTGGTGTTGCTTATTCCACCCTCAACCTTTAGTCAAAGTATAGGGGATGGTTGGTTTGTCATTTCCTGGACACCATGTGCCTGCATGCAAAACTGTTAGAACTTCTCCATGGGAGGACGTGAGATATCTTCTCAGATTTCGGAGGACTTCGTACCAGCTGCACTGGAAACTGCCCGATTGACCCAGTTTTCGTTTACCGAAATGTCTTTGTGAAAGTAACACTCCCATAATGGAGCACAACTCGTGGCGAATGCTACGTAGTCGTGGGTGGCCTCTCACCCACAATGGACGAGTACTGATACCTTGTTGTGGCGTTAGCCAGCCGTTTTCCTCACCGTTTCCGGTACAGGAGCTGATTCTGTCAGCTTGTCGTGATGATGTGACTACATTCAGAGCACCAGTGGCGGGCTCGCAGGGTCCAGGTGTCAGTACCAGACTCGAGAAATGAGACCACACCTCAGGGCTGATCAGGTGGTGCAGTGGAATTTCGTTCCTCCAGTTCAGAGGGCGTCGAGGTGCATCGCGTCCCTACACTACTACATGCATATCGCATACGCAAGTACATGTACGGGCCGGCCCTCTCCGAACAGATTCAAATTTGAAACCCGACCCACCCACTCAACAGGATATGGAGAACAGGCAGAGAGAGGGTTCAACTAGATGCCAAACATGCCACTGTGAACGAGGCAGCCAGAGCTTGGTTGTCCTAAATAAAGCCACTTCCTAGCCTCGCTGGAGAATGTAATTAGTTTCCGTCTCATTCTGAGACAGCCGTCTCCGGAATGTAACCAGTTTGGTATCAGAGATCTCAAAATCTATTTTGTCGCTAATCCGTTCCACCGGAATGGAAATACCAGAACCAGACCTACTTTCATGTCGTCTGATGGAATGGAACAGGTACTGCAGAATGGACTGCAGATCGATGCTGACATGGAATCAGGGCAAGACATAAACAGACACCCTTACAATGTAGCAACACTCTTACAGGTGAAAAAGAAGATAATGTGATGAAAGTGTTTTATGACATGAGTAAAGTTGGTTCATTTGATTTTGATGCTGTGTGAGACGTTGGCTCTGATGCCAGAGGATTCACCTCCGTAGCGATGGAGCTCCTTCATTACCTCACGCACCTGCACAGCACAACAAAAACCAATTACTTTGTAGAGCACACAAAAGGATGGCAATGTATATTATAGTGTACCTGGCCCTTATGCTTGATCAAGGCCTTTCTGAACTTGTTCCTATGCTTCACTCGAGGATTTCTCAGCTCTTTCTTCCTCTGTGGAATCAGCCCTCTATTGCGAGAAATCTGGACAACAAAAGTTAAGTCAACAAGAGAAAAATCCCATCAACAAGATAAAATCCTTAAGTCAAAGAGAAAAAAGCAAAAAATCCCTGAGAGTGTGACTATTAAACCTGTTAAACCTGGTAAGTGACGGCTCTTTTTCCATCTTCTCCCTCATCAAGGTCAGCTTCCTTCTCTCCCTCCGCCTCTTCCTTTCTTCTTCTCTCCATTCTCTGCTCTCTCTTTCTCTTCTTCTCTTCCAAAACCCTGTCATAGTAATCTAGTGGATCCTCTTCAACTAAACCAGACTGGGACACTCGCCCCAGAAATTTTGCCACTTTTCTTCTTCACGGATTTGATCTCGGTTTCAATTTCCGTTTCTCTCACTCCTTGTTTTCTCTTTCTTGACTTTTACTAACACCATCTTCCACGGCTGAATATTGGTCCATAGCTGGATTTTCCTCTGGTGTTTCAGAATTCAGAGAGGATAAAAGAGCCTCGATCTGTCCTTGCATTGGTAAATAGTGAAGGGCGTGTATCGACTTCCGCATGCTATCCTACTGTAGCTAGCCCGTGTCAGACTCTCCGCGAGCTACTAGCGGGAGACCACGAGTAAACGCATACTACAAATAGCCCAGTAAAGGCATAAAAAGCCCAGCCCATCAATTAGTGGTACCGCGCATGCACAGTTCGCCGAGGGTTTGCACTTCAATTTCTAAGTGAACCGTGTGATCTCCTTCTCACCTTTTTAATTTGAACTATGCGCTGGATGACTGGGTGAGATTTGACAGGCAGACCCGACGCTTTCAGGTAGAGGTAGAACATTATGTTCATGCAATACCTAAAGAGAGAAAGAGAAAGAGAGAGATGTTGACGCAATATCTAGAGAGAGAGAGAGAGGGGGGGGAGAAAGATAATAATGGAGAGAGCAAGAGAGCTAAAAGCGAAAATGACAAATGCTATCTCACAAAAGATCGAGATGCAGCTTGCAGTCCAAATATTCTCTTCCCTGCAAAGAAAAAAAACAATACCCGAATTTCTGGAGCAAGTGCTAGATGGATGAACTTGCCTCGTCAGTAAAGGTAGGCGAGTCTTTGGCCACTCTGGACTGGAATCGGAGCAGTTCCACTGTCTCTGACATGTTGAAGTCAAAGTCCTCCAGAAGATCGAATAGCTCTGGGGAATCCTTCTCTAGCAGCTGTAACAGAGAGAGAACAGTTCTTGATGATATTTCAACACTGGTGGCTTTAAAAAATACACAAGAAGACAACAACTACAAAGAGAACAACTCACTGCCAACTTGTCTTCTCGTGACATCTTTGAGAAATCCTGCGCCACATGTTCCTCCTGCGAAAACTCAAAATGAAACCGAAAACACTACAGTAATCTGTTACGGCTACCTTCTCTACTCCATCTTCCTGCTCCCCATCGTCTTCCTGGATTCAAGTAGAAGAGGAATTTCAGTAAGTGACAATTCATAATGAACAAGGTTCAGAGTAAGAGAACGGTTCATTGTAAGGTAACAGTTCGTAGTATATAAGAAAGAAAAAAGGAGGGATTTCTCACAGGTAGGGTTGGAGCCATGAAATCTGCCTCGCTGATGGCAGCGGTCATTCTCTGCTGCAGAGCAATGGCTCCTTCTCCTCCAACTCTGCCGCCATCTCCGAGCCTTCCGACCCACTCAACTCATCCTCACCTATGACGAATAATGAAGCAAATAAGTAAAATGTCATCTGATAAAGCAGCGAGGTAGAGAGCAAAGTCAGAGAAGAGAGGAGATACTACAATCCACAAAGAGAGACGAACAGTAATACAGCTGAACTCAATATGTTAGTATGTTTTCACTTTTGTAAGACTATACCTTCGACTGCATAGAATGTTTTCTTCTTCCGCCCCCACGCCTTGTCCGATACTTCTAGGATAAACGTTTCATGAAAACAAACAGAGAAGGGTGCAGAAGCGTGTTGTACCTGTTTGATGTTTTTCTGAAGGTTCCTCATCATCGCTGGCAAGAAACTGCCTCTGTAGGGCAGGTGGCAGCTTAAACTCTTCCTCCTCCTCGCTTTCCTCTTCATCTTCCTCTTCCTCGCTCAATCCAAGCACCTCTTCTTCGTCAACCTGTCCAACACACAAACGCTTTCTTTAGAGCTCAAAGTACATATCGGTCTGTAGACATACACTCAATCCATCATCCTCAGAACTGCCACTATCACCTTCGAGTAGCAACTGAAAGAAGAATTTAGTCGAAGAATTCGTAACACAAAACTCTCACTCTTTCTTTGGCGTCGTGGAAATCATCTATCTCGTCCCGGAAGAAATTGTCTTCGTGCTGGACATTTGGCTCGTGATAAAAGGACATGGCGTCAGGTACGGACTTACTATGTTGACCAGGCTTTGATCGCGTTGTGTCGGGTCGTCCTCTTTGTCATCCGCGGCCTGTTTTCTGACCGCCCCGCGAACACGCTGGAGCCTCCTGATGGCAACAAAGAAACGTGAACGTACCGATGAACCAGACTCTTGTTGCTTCTTCACCTAGCATGTCGACCCATTCTCGGCCCGCGCCCACGTGTGTGTAGCTCTACACCTTTGACCTCACGTGCACGTGAACTTTTTATACGGGCGAAAAACTTTACTTCATTTCACAATCAAACTAGAGTACAAAAAACTAATGGTGGCTGTTTTTTTCACTACGACTAAACTACGATGAAGTGATTTTTGCGGGTTATTATCTTTGTTGGTTACACAACTTCTTTGAAGTTGGCATAAGTCTCAAAACTGTCCATGTAGGTGGCGACCACGTCGTGGCAGAAGGCATAGTGAGCCTGTAGAATACAAATAGCTATCATTCACACCTGTGACAGTACATAAAAGCTACCAAAGTTGATAGGACCAATGCAATTTCTGTAACAGTTTCCCTTTAATAGCTAATAGAGGGAAGGACGTACAGCATCTGGGACGAGGGCTGCTCGTTGGATGCGAGCGGATTTTGCAGCCTGGAAGAAATCGACCACACCCTCAGTCTTGAGTCTCTCCAGTTGTGAGTGGATACAGATGAACGTCCCCGTCCTTCCTACTCCATCACTGCAGTGAGGGAGAAATCGACAGAACACTCCCATGCTCCTTTGTGTTGTGTTGTGTGTTGTAGATTCGAACCCCTACCAGCTGAGTTGCCCTGGTAGCTCAGTTGGTAGAGCGCTCGCCTAGACTGCAGAGTGTCGTGGGTTCGAATCCCACCCAGGGCAGTTCTTCTTCTTTTCTTTGAAAAGAAAGAGCTGTCCTGGGTGTAGTTGACTTGTTTGCCTTGCCTTGCCTTTCTACCTCGCTCCCAAGTATTGAGACATGCTAGGTGCCATACCTGCTCTCTAGCTATGCACACCTCTGAATGAGTCTAGGAACACCAATTATATTTCCTTTGTAAAATAATACAGTAGTGTTAGTGTATTAGCATGATGCACAACCAAGTGTCAGGTCAAAGGGTCCTAACTAGTGATGGAGCGAAAAAGTTAAAGCTGCTGACCTGCACATGATGACAGTGTGTCTGCCGGGGCTGCCCCTCTGTGCCTTAGTGAGCAGGTCCACCAGAGACAAGATGGCCGTGGGGTGAGGTAGCTCTCCGGGAGGCCAGCTACTCAGCTGCATGAGACTCACAGTCTTCTGAACCCCTCCCCTCCCCTCCGTGTCCTCCACTTCCAGCTTCCTCTCAATGATGTCACCGTGATGGCTCACTCTCTTCACCCCCACCCTTAGCTTCCCGTACACCGCCTCTTCTTTCTCCCCTTCTGGCCAGAAACAATGACTGCTCACCTATCAGAGAAAAAAGAGAGACTGAACAAGATCAAGTAGCTACAGGTCAAAATTGGTTCTAAGGCCTATAGATGTAAATAACAGCAGCGCTTCACTGCCACATGTCACCCAGTGGCTTGAGCACCTGACCAACTTGGCTCCTGGTTTTTCTCTTTCATCAATGCCTACCGATTCAATGAACCTCACATAAGGTGACATAAGGCAAAGCTCTTTCAACCCAGATAGTTTCCATGAGTATTCGTCCACTTTGAAAAAAAGCAAAATATGTACTTTCAGGAAAAAATCAGGGGTTTTGCTCTCTCAGCAATGAGTAAAAGGATCGAGGGAACTCACTTGTCCCTTCTCCTGTGTCTGACAGAGCATGACGATGCAGCTGCAGTTGTGTTCCCAGATCATCCTCCATAGATCAGCCACTGTCCCTTCCATTGGTCCCTGGGTGGCTATGTAGGCCTTCCGCTGTTTATACCCCTGCAACAGGGAGACAAGCAAGTCATGAGGGCAGTTGATTGATGGTTGAGATACAGAGACAATTATGAGAAAAAACTGGCGTCTGTCAGTAGCTCACGCATAATTATTGTCTGAAAACAATCCATGCTAATGGAGTGAGCTACAATTAAAGTGGAATATTTCTCTGAGGACACCCCGGAAATAAGACCTTTTCTTTCCCCCAAAACCTTCTCTTTACCCTGTATATACTTCAATTATCTTATCTATGGAGGTTGTGTGTGTGTGTGTGTGGCTTTCATACGTACATCAATGAAGGATGCATTGATATAGTCGGAGCCAGGTTTGGGACCAAACCTCAGCCTCACACGACCCAACTCATCTGAAAGTGAGAGAAAAAACAACTCTCTAATTTACAAACCATGAGGTTGAGCGTTGGGAACAAAATGCTCCAAAACGAAAGTTTATTTCCTTCTGAAAGGCCTCTACAGTTGTAGGAGGAACATAAACAGTAGGAAATTGTAGAGACAAATTGTTCACCCTCAAAGCGGGACAGAGTCGTAAACACGCTAATGAGTGGTAGGAGGAACATAAACAGTAAACACACACACAATAGAGACAACTTGTTCACCCACAAAGTGGGGATTGAGTCTGTAAACAGCTATTGGGGTGGCATACATAATCCCACGGAGGGCTACCGTCAACAGCCAGCAGATGGACTTTTGCTTTTAGAAGATGTGGACAAACGTTTATCAGGAGTTGAAGAGGGCCAAAACACACATAGGATAATGTGTTGACAGTGAAAGGAAAGTGTTTACACTTACTCGGTAGCTTGTCAGGGAACCTGTTTTTCCCTGCATTGTACTTGGCCTTTGCCTCCTGGTAAGAGGCCTCGCACTGAGAGCTAACTTCCTCCAGGGTCTACACAATCAGTAACAAGAAGACAGAACTCACGTTTACTGGGTTACGACAACCTAAATGGTTCACACTCTTTCTAAAACACTACCTGAGTATAGCATCAGTACTCAATGAAATCTGCCTCGCTCCTTACATATATTCGTATGAATAGTGTGGTTGAGAATAGTCAGACTCAGTTAGAGTCGAGAAAGAGATAAAATGAAGCAAAGCGTAGTCACATGCAAGGCTGGTAGTGCCACACCTGCATAGCTACATTACTGATGTGTCACGCTGAGGATACCTCAAACTGTTTCTGGAAGCCAATGAGACCAGACGGGTCACCAGGTACTGGTTTCTGTAGCTGCATCATCCTGATCCTGATATTACCAGCGGCCACATCGGTTTCTCCACACACCACTAGTTCACTGAGGGAATCATGGATGAAGACGTACTGAGCCTGCAGTGAGAGGAGAGGGGAAGAGGGAGGGAGGAGAGAGAGGGGATAGAGAGAGAGAACAGAGAATGGGACACAGGGAGTAAAGTTGAGGTTGGTGAACCAAGAAAGAGACAGAAAGACTGGGAGAAGGGAGAAAAACCAAAGGAAAGACTGACCCACAAGAGTGTACTTTTTCACTTACATACACTTGTACATTGGAAGCACTCATACCTGGGTCTGAACCAGCTTCATTCTCTGAGTCCTCATATTCTTGAGGCGTTGGAAGACACTCAGTGTCCCCTCCCGCTTCATCTGCTGCATAGCCACGTCCAGGAGGATGAAAGTACCGGTCCTCCCCACCCCGGCACTGCAGTGGACCAGGAGGGGCGTGGTCAGGGAGACCGGGTGCTCCCTCCGGACGCGATGGATGAAGGAGATGAGGGACATGGCGTTGCGTGGGACTCCATGGTCAGGCCAGGCTGTGTAAAGCATGTGGGTGACAGTCCTCTCATGTTCTGGGTCAGACTTCTGCAGGAATAAAGCATAGGGCACAAGACAAGAATAGGGTGTAGTGTCTAGTGTGAGTCAATTAGATAATTAATCTGAGGTAACCCAGTGAGGAAAGCTGCCCGTGCCAGTGCTTACATGCTTACATTACTCATGCAGTAACATTAGGGACAATGGCTGCATTATTTCACAAATACTTGCCTAGTTTTTGGTGCACAAAAGTGAGATGTAAAATAATATACGGAGTTCATTGTGGTATAGACTCACTGATTTGAGCTGCATCTTTCTGATCTGATACTCAGCAGAGGGCACCAATGAGGTCACAGTGATGTCAAACTTTCCACGTGTAACTGAAGTGTTGGTCTGATCTGGCCAATACTGCATGCATTTCTCCTGAGAGGACCATAGTTTTAATCACAGTATAATTCAATAAAAATGTGCACCATATATAGAGACCAAAAATTTCACTTTAGCTGAAATAGGCGTTTTACTGTAATTACGTTTTGCTGTGTATACACGAGTGGGCGAGCTTAATTCAGAGTGGAGTGGACGCACCCTCGCGTGCCGGTATAAAAGATGTGAAAACGGAGAAATTAACAGACCTTGCCGTCCTCAAAACAGCGAGTGAGCATGACGATGGTAGGGATCTGATAGTCCCACACCATCTCCCAGAATCTGTTGGCTGTCAGCTCCGTTGGGCCTACGTGAGGCAGTGTCGAAAATGATGGCAAGAAAACAGAAAAGTAACGTAAATAATGTAAGTGTAAGGCAAGAATGGGTAGCGTTAGTAATAGAGAATGTAGTAAGGCTAATATGAAACAAAAGAAGGGCTAACAAATCAAGAATAAGTTGTATGAATGTAAGTGAAAGAGCAAAAGTGTGGTGAAAGTATCACCTTGTGAGGCAATGTAAGCTTTCTTCTTCTCTGGATACCCCTGTGGAATAGTGAGACATTCGTCTGAACCACAGTTGTAATTGTGGGAATGTAGAGACATTCAGGCACCACTGCTATCAGAATCTCATTGTCTCAGTTATGGTTGGGTTGATGGGTTTTCATTGTACTGGTGGACCAGCACATCAACCGGTTTTATGTTCACACCTATGCTCTCATCCATATAGACCCCCATTCCATTGTGTGAACTGTTCAGGCAGTTTCTATGAAGCTGTCTGTAGGTAACTTTAGGCAGTTTTCTTTTAAAGTCATTTGAGGTAGTTAGTGTATAGTGCTTTATAGCAATTCTCTGCATGCATAGTATACATATATTGTAAGAGGCCGCATGAAGTTGTGCTCACATCAATGAATGAAGCATTGATGTAGTCAGAGCCCTTCTCTGCTGGATTTCCCTTCAACTGGACCCTGCTGTGATCATCTGCAGTGGAATGTGAGTCATTAGAGTACTAACTACAAGGGGTTTACTCACAGGGGAAGATGTTTTTGAATCTATTGTGACTGATGTTGCAGGCGAGTTTTGCAGCTTCCGTAGATGCCGCAGGAAGCTTTTCCAATGACTAGAACACACACCACGCACACCACACACACACACACACACACA